GCAGAAGCGGGAGTACCAGGCGCCCGATGCCGGAAACGTGGGATGGAAGCAAGCAAAACTACCGAAAACAAATAAACGAAGCGTTGCCATACCTTTTTGACTCTTACCGATTTTGGTGCTTCATCGTTTCTCTTCCAGTCAAGCAGAGGACCTGTTTTTGCAGGTCTGGCCCAGAAAGAGAAACATCGCCTAAGAAACACATGCAGCTTTGTCCCTTGCCGCGCAGCTGAGGCAGGGCTGCTGGCAAGGCCTCCATGGATGCGTGGCTTTGAGGAGTCAAAAACCGTGGGGACGCGCGCTTGCGCGCGGGCGCGGCCGCGCGCTTGCGCGCGCGGACGCTTTTCCCGAATGGTGCCGCCACCCGATTCGATTCATCTGGCAGTGGGACTTGCCCCTTCGGGTCACGAGGTCCAGTGCCAGTTGGCCAACTTCGCCCGCGAAAGTCGCCATTTTTGGGTCAAGACCGCAGCTGGACCATCGCCACTCTTTATCGCAGCACCCGCCTGCTTAACATGGTTCACATGGCCAATGCCGTGAAAATTATGGTGCTGCTTGCAGCATTGCCTCACTTAGCCCTGAACATCCCTGAACTTTTTGCTTTGAACATGTGCTTTGGACATGTCTGTTTAGGGGAACCTTTGTGCTTTTACACCAGCCGTGCTTATTTTGAGGTTCCTCATTTTGGATTCTCATTTTGGTGATTCAAAATATGTGATTCCAAAGGAAAAGAACGCCGGAGCTCTGTTTGGGCTTGTCCCTCGCCATTAGGTTGCTTTCCTTTTGGCTTCCCACCGAATCGTGCTGTAAGAAACTCAGCAGTTCCACGCATTCCGCCCTTGTGGTTCGATGGATTCCCCTCTTGCAGTCACCCCTAAATGGTTCCCTTTTTGTACCAGAGTCACTAGTTGTTTGCTCCCAAGAACAACCACGGAACCTGACTCCAAAGCATCCAATCTTTTCAGCTTCCTTCTATTCGGGCCTGTCTCTTTTTGACCCCCCCTTTCTTGGCGGCTTTTTTTTACAGGGGCTTCCCTCTTGGACGAGCGCTTGCGCCACCGCTCCCGAACGTTGCGGCTGCCGCGAGCAGAGCAACAACGCGCCTCCAGCGAGGGGAGCGGATTCGTGAGGGAGCGAGCAATTCGCTCGTGGGGGGTTGCTCTTATTTTCTTTAAAGCATATATATATATATATATATAATATATATATAGATATAGATAGGAGCTCGTTTGGGGAGCAGGCTCCTCCAAAGAGTTGCTGGTGTTCAAGAAAACGGGGTCAGAGGTCTGCCTCGCTGAGCTGAGTCGAGTCAGGTCGTTTCAGACTCCGGCAGTTTTGACCATGGACTGGAAGCCTCGGATTGGAGGGGTAGCTTGGTGACCCTAGAGAACTCAGAAATCCCACGGTTTACTTGGCATAGGGCAAACGAACCGTTTAATTTCAGCTTGGTTTACACGAAAACCAAAGGGACCGCCATCTTCCGGGCCCCCAATTTGGCACGGTACGCCATTGAACAGCTTGGGCACTTTCTGACTTCCCCTCTCGGAAATGGCTTAGGTGCAGAATGCGAATCGGCTCTTCGACTCCCAGAACAACGCGGCGGCGGGGCAAATTGGGGACGACTGCAAGCCGGCGAAGGATGGGGACAACAACGACGTCACCGTGGAAGGCGGGAATGGATCTCCCTCCATTTGCTGAAATGAGTATGTTTCATTTTCCCGAAGTCGTTTTGAAGGGAATCTATCACTGCTGGGAATAGGTGTGTAGGGCTTTTCCAGGTGGCTTGAGTTAAGCAAACTGAGGGCTGCTTTGGACAAGCCAAGCCAGTGGATTCGTTCTTTACACAACCCAAGCAACTGCTTCGACCTTTTGTCTCCGAGCAAAGAAGAGGGGGGATTAGGGTTTGTCTCAAAATCGGCATGCGAACCAAAGTGGGTGGGTTTCCATTAATTGGTTCCTTCACGACAAGAATCCAACCACCCCATAAAAGAAATGGTTTGCTCGGCGCCTCAACTTGGCGCGATAGGCCCTACTAGGGAATGAGAAATGGAATGCACCTGGTCCCCTTAAAGGAAACCACCAGTTGGATGGTTCGCTTCGGGGTCATTCCCATAAAAGAAATCCCCAAAAAGAAGCAAAAGTGCATTCCCATAATATGCATTCCCATAAAACAGGAGAAACCAGGGCCCATGTAGGCGCCTCAGGGCACCGAACAAATGTCTGCCAGGGGCTACCAAGGGAACCATGAAGTTCTACCAGGGCTCTACGTGGAGTGGACCCATCATGGCTGCGGGGCGACTCGGAAGAAGTTTTACGAGCGGGGGGATAACCGGGTACGAGCCGGGTGGGAAAAGAAGGGGATCTGTTGGTGTGTTTTGCTTTCCCCATAAAAAAGGTTTGGATGAAGAAATTACATATCAGGCCCAAATACTTACAAACATTAATTTCGCCGTGCTTTGGATGATAGCAATCCCGGCAACACCATTAAAGTTACGTAGTGTTTGTTGCAATCTTCCGCAAGCCACCAAGAAAACCGCACCGCAGGGGCCTCTTCTCTGCTTTGTGGCGTGATCAGTTTCTCCAAGACAAACTTGTTAAGCATGTTCAACCATTTGACTCCCAACAGGCTCCCCCAACGCTCTCATGTTAGGAATCTTCTTGGCAAGGGTTGTTGGGTTCCATGTCGAAGCAGAGGCCATGAACTTTGGATGAATGCAGAGGACCATAAGCACAGGACTCGCCCCCAAGTGAACGAGTTCGCCTACTACTGGGGCCAATCTGTCAGGTTCCCTTGGGGTCTTCAGACATATTTTGCATTGGGTAGATTGAATACGTGTGTGTGTGTGTGTGTGCGCGTGTGTGTGTGTGTGTGTGTGTGTGTGTGTGTGTGTGTGTGTGTGTGTGTGTGTGTGTGTGTGTGTGTGTGTGTGTGTGTGTGTGTGTGTGTGTGTGTGTGTGTGTGTGTGTGTGTGTGTGTGTGTGTGTGTGTGTGTGTGTGTGTGTGTATGTGTGTGTGTGTGTGTGTGTGTGTGTGTGTGTGTGTGTGTGTGTGTGTGTGTGTGTGTGTGTGTGTGTGTGTGTGTGTGTGTGTGTGTGTGTGTGTGTGTGTGTGTGTGTGTGTGTGTGTGTGTGTGTGAGTGTGTGTGTGTGTGTGTGTGTGTGTGTGTGTGTGTGTGTGTGTGTGTGTGTGTGTGTGTGTGTGTGTGTGTGTGTGTGTGTGTGTGTGTGTGTGTGTCTGTGTCTGGTGTCTGTGTCTGTGTCTGTGTCTGTCTGTGTCTGTGTCTGTGTCTGTGTCTGTGTCTGTGTCTGTGTCTGTGTCTGTGTCTGTGTCTGTGTCTGTGTCTGTGTCTGTGTCTGTGTCTGTGTCTGTGTCTGTGTCTGTGTCTGTGTCTGTGTCTGTGTCTGTGTCTGTGTCTGTGTCTGTGTCTGTGTCTGTGTCTGTGTCTGTGTCTGTGTCTGTGTCTGTGTCTGTGTCTGTGTCTGTGTCTGTGTCTGTGTCTGTGTCTGTGTCTGTGTCTGTGTCTGTGTCTGTGTCTGTGTCTGTGTCTGTGTCTGTGTCTGTGTGTCTGTGTCTGTGTCTGTGTCTGTGTCTGTGTCTGTGTCTGTGTCTGTGTCTGTGTCTGTGTCTGTGTCTGTGTCTGTGTCTGTGTCTGTGTCTGTGTCTGTGTCTGTGTCTGTGTCTGTGTCTGTGTCTGTGTCTGTGTCTGTGTCTGTGTCTGTGTCTGTGTCTGTGTCTGTGTCTGTGTCTGTGTCTGTGTCTGTGTCTGTGTCTGTGTCTGTGTCTGTGTCTGTGTCTGTGTCTGTGTCTGTGTCTGTGTCTGTGTCTGTGTCTGTGTCTGTGTCTGTGTCTGTGTCTGTGTCTGTCTCTGTCTCTGTCTCTGTCTCTGTCTCTGTCTCTGTCTCTGTCTCTGTCTCTGTCTCTGTCTCTGTCTCTGTCTCTGTCTCTGTCTCTGTCTCTGTCTCTGTCTCTGTCTCTGTCTCTGTCTCTGTCTCTGTCTCTGTCTGTCTCTGTCTCTGTCTCTGTCTCTGTCTCTGTCTCTGTCTCTGTCTCTGTCTCTGTCTCTGTCTCTGTCTCTGTCTCTGTCTCTGTCTCTGTCTCTGTCTCTGTCTCTGTCTCTGTCTCTGTCTCTGTCTCTGTCTCTGTCTCTGTCTCTGTCTCTGTCTCTGTCTCTGTCTCTGTCTCTGTCTCTGTCTCTGTCTCTGTCTCTGTCTCTGTCTCTGTGTGTGTGTGTTTGCGTGTTTGCGTGTTTGCGTGTTTGCGTGTTTGTTTGTGTATTTTTTGGGGACTTCCAAAATGGCTTCGGCTTTCCTTTGTTGATTTCCCTTTGGTTTCTGTGCAGAACCCAACCCGTAGACCCGCCCGATCGGCACCGCAGGTTGGGCATCCGAACCTGCGGTGCCAGATCATCCTGCAGTACATGTCGGAGGAGGCGGGAGGCGTCCATTCCTCCATGTCCCTCTGCGGGACTGTCCAAAGCAACGCCGAAGCATGAAGCTTTTGGCTTATTTGATTTGGTCCATATCTAGTCAAGGTTCCAAAAGATCAACCTACTTCAGGATCCTTTGGGCAACTGAGTGATGGATGCCAGTAAATTGGGTTCCAAGTTATTTGCAGAGCGACCCTGGGATGTGGAGGCTTCCCTTTTTTCCCCGGCCGCTGGTCTAGCTCCCAATGTAAGCTTTGAATCACTTGTGGACCGATCCCTAGGACGGGATTCGGCATGCCCGGCTCACTTGCGAATGGCCCTGGCTGTCTCAAGATAGGAATCAGAACCCCCCCCCCCCCAACACGAAAGAAGGCCACGAGTATCTGTTGGTTTCCCTTTTCAAAGCCAAGGGGTCCCAAAAGGTCCAACTCAAGAATAAGAGCCACCCACACTTTCGATTGTGAATGCTTAATGGCTGCTGAAAAAATAGACTTGTTTGCTGACGTGCATAGTGGGCTGAGATAGTTGGCGGTACCCTTTGGATTGAACATAAGAGACCGCCTCCAAACTGCCGGGCCCACCGGCAAATGTGGCTGGTGCGTCAACCCGGCAATAGTTATACATAGTCGCTTCTATTGTTGATTTCCAGTTGCAGTTTTCTCTCTCATGCGGTCTTGTCTTGACCACTCATGTCCTATCATGTTATGATGGAAAGGGTAGTTTTTGGGATGATGTGACATCCCGCTCAGACGTCCTGCTCAAAGTGTATGCACTTTAAACTTTACCGCATATTGCAAGCTATTGTTTCCACATTTACAGGTTCAATGATGAAGGGTCAGCTGAAATGATAGCACAACTGTATGCAAGCTTCTTTGAAGCAACCTTTTAGCGACTGATTCTGTCTTTGGTACATTTGTAGATTTCCTCAATACGTCAACACTTCAATATCTAAGTTGTCGCACATTTGGCTGTGGCTCAAAAACATGTACCAAAAGGGCGCCTTGGACACATCCAGTCCAACATTGATGCTCAACCCACGTTGGTAGGTTGTGGGAGCTACCTCCCATCGTCCTACTTGTAACCATGGCTACAACCCACGTACTAGCTTGATCACTCAATGGCTTATGCTCGTTTCCTTGAACCAAATACTGCTGTTCTCGTTCATTTCAATAGATGGACAATCCATCCAAACGGTGCTTTTGTTGATGGGCTCGCTCAATATGGGTCTAAATCGGGATTTGGACCCGAAGCGTGGATTTCGGCTTTTCCCTCAAACCAGCCCCAAAAAGGGTACCAACTCAAGAAGCAAACAGACACACACACCAACTTTTTGAGGTGAGCTCCCCATCACCCCCAGCTTTCTTTTTGCACCCGTCCGCTTCGGCCGGAGGACAACCCCAGCCTCCGCGACGGCACCGGTCAGACCTCCGCAGGTGGCGATGGCAACGACCCCACGGAGGCGGAGACGGCAGAGTTGGCGCGGGGCTACCACAAGCCATTTGACTACTACCAGTCCTGTGCCCTGGACCGAACACTCGAAGGCTTCGCTTTCCCGTTTTCCGGCTTGACTTTCGTCTTACGATCGGTGCGATATGGAATGAGAGTTATGACCCCGATGGAAAAACCATCCTGGATTCCGTTAGTCGGGGACCATGAGTTCAGTTCACCAGCAAGTTTTGTTTGGTTTTGTCTCAGCCCAAAGCGAATCGACCTGAAATGACCTTGTGTTGTTTCATCCACCTGGTTTCCCATCCCACATTTACCGCGCTTTCAAATCACGACATTCTCAGTTGGTAACAACTGTCAGGGTTGCCCTTTGCCTACGGGGTAAACCATTGATTAAACCTGATCAGACCATCTGCCAAAGGGTAAGGGTGCCCAATGTTTTCAACATGAAACCGACTAGTGCGAATCCCAAAAAAAAAGTAGTCTTCCCACCCCTTCCGATTGCCTTGTTCGATTATTAGGAGTGGTTTCCCTGGATGGACTGGGCCTATGCAAGCATGGACCATCTTGGTAGAACCAAAGACCATCTGGTAGAACCAACAAGCCTCTGCGGAGGTTCCCCGATGCTTTCTCCATCAAGAACAGTGGTTTGGAGGCAAAGGTCCCGGTTTCGTTCCTTTCACATGTTCAGTGTTTTTGTTTCAGTTGGTGTTCCCGCCATAAAAGCTTGTTGGTGCGATAGGTAGGGAATGACGAGTCCAGGTTTGCGGAATGAACTGTTTGGGGATTCCCTTAAAGGAAACCATAGCAAATGGTTTTTGTTGGGGGCATTCCATTTCTCGTTCCCGGCTTATCGAACCAGCAAATGAACCCGCCCTTCAAAAGGTATGGCATTGGCTCAAATCGTCAAGTCTAACATCAGCTACGGACACATCTTACCCAGTCGCTCACGTGCCCTTTTAGAACGGATCTGGCTTTCGGAAGGGAAACCAAAGTAAGAACCGAATTACATGTTGGGGTGCCAAATCTCATTCAGAGATAAACCGATATTAAGTTTTCCCAGTTAGGGCATTGAGCAACAGTCCCATCATGTTTTGCTCCAGATGACCTTCCCTTTTCCTCAAAATGTGGGAGCCTCCCATTGTTCCATGCTTCCTCCTCCCCCCAAAATAAACATAAAGATCAAACAACAAAGGACAACACAACAAAAAGCAACCACCACAAAAAAGAAGAAGAACAAAACACACAAAAACGCACACACACACACACACATTCAAAAGAAAAGAAAAGAAGAGACACACTAGAAAGCGTCATCTTCCGAGGCATGGCGCGTGAGCGGAACCAGGGCCTCTACACCGCGGACCAGGCCCTGGAGGCGAACGGCGGGGCCTCCTCCACGCGGCAAAACCCCAACGGCAACGGGCGGCGCCGCGGAGCCCAGCGCCACGGCCTCGAGTGCCCCGAGGACGCGGGTAGGCGGAAAGACCGCGCGAGGCGGCGAAGGGGGCGGATTTTTGGTACTTTTTGTAACGGAGGGGCTTTTTTGGTTTGTTTTTCAAGGGTGGTAATCAAGTCAGGTGGCACTTCCAGGGTGGCTTGAACCAACTGAACAAAGGGCACTTTGATTGGGGGGACACTGATCGCGGGGTAGGGGTTGGCCGTATATGGTATCCAACCATTTTGTCCCAAGATTTTCCTTGCCAGAAAATTGCCACAAAGCCCCGGCATACTTGGCCGCTCCTTTCGTGATTTGTGACGTAGCCAGTGAAGCTTCCAACTTTTGCAGGGGATCAACCATTCCAGTAGAGATGTTCTATGCCCTTTCGGCGCCTTTTTCTCAACTTTTGTGGGCCTGGTGCAATCAACATACTGCCCGCACAGCTAAGAACGCGGTTCTCCTATCAAGTCATGGCGAAGGGTTCAAGGGTTCATGTTTGAGAGTTCTGCGCAATGGGGCTTGGCTTTCGCCCCTCTTGTCCAAATCACATGGCAAAAGCTGCCAATTTCAATCGGGAGCCAAGCTTAGCTGGTCCTTCGGGTTGGTCTGATTGCAATAGTTGTTCTTGTTGGGTCGTCCTGGCGGCGGCGCTTCTTGACTGTTTTACTTCCAAACCGGAGAGAGCTGAATGTTCAGAAAGTTTGCTGGTGTTCAGTTCGGGATCAACTATCGAACCAAGAATCCAGCTTTGCAACCAGGCGTCCTTATATTTCCCTTTTTGGTTAATGTTTACACCAGATTACCCCCCCCCCCCCCCGGAGAAGGTTGAGAAGGTTTTTGGGCTCCCATAAAAGAAACTGGAACTGAAATAATCTGGGTGGTCTATCTTAGTCTGGGGCAATACTATTGGGCAATACTACTTTAGTATTGGGCAATACTACTTTTAAATTGGGAATGAGGATCCCGGAGCTCCAGATGAACTCCAAAAGGAGCTTCGGTCCTTGTTTGCATTTGATTTATTATTGCTGGAGCTTCCTTTTGAATTTGATTTGAGCTTCCACTTCATTATTTGCTTTAGTATTGCTGGAGCTTCCTTTTGAGACTTCCCTATTCCCTATTGAGTTTCCATTTGATTTAGTATTGCACAAAGTTGGATGCGGATTTGTTTGCAGGCCTGAGGACAAGGCCACACTAATAGCATGTGTGTCCCCCATGTTGTTAACACGGCCCGGGCACTCATGTGCGGTACCTCATGTGACCTTCTCAAACCATCGCTTTTTGAAGGGAATTTATAAAGAAACTGCACTTTCAGAAAGCCCACCATTTTTGGATTTCAGGGAGTTCTAGCTGATGTTTGTGTTGGCTTTGCAATGCTTCGTGGCTGTGCTGGTACTGGTGAAAAGCCGGCACTGGCAGCTTTTCTTAAGCAAATGGAATGCAAATGTCAGCAAGGTTTAGGTGCAGCAGCATGGACAAAATGAGACCAGCTGCATCACCAGGGATTCTTGTTGATTTGAACTTTTGATTTGGGTGGGGCTTTCTGAGTTTGGGGTCGTTTGGGTTGGGGCGGCTTTTTCCCATGCATGGGTGTTTTTTTCTCCCCAACAGCTGAAAGCCTTGGGGTCTCAGTCCAGATAGGCTCCGGGGTGGTCCGGGGCGGCCCTGAGGTAAGGTTCCACGAGAGTGCCACCAGGGTTCCACCAGGGTTCCGCCAGGGTTCCACGAGGGTTCCACGAAGGTTCCACGAGGTTCTGCGGGGTGGTGCGAGCACTAAAAACAGCACCGCATGCTGTTGGGGATATCACCTGAGCTTATTGTTTTTTGTTATTTAGGTGATTCCAGTTGTTCGATTTGTGTAGTGTTGTGGGATCCTGTGCTGGCCGGCTCAATACCATGGGTTGATTAATCCGATGTTGACATTATCAGCAGCACCTTGTTGGGGCATAGGGGAGTGTTGTTTGGCAGGGGTGGCGTTTTAACGTGAGCATAGGGAACCTTTTTTGGCGGCTTTGAACGCTGGTGACCAGGAGCGGGACTACTGCCCCTATTGGCACCCCACCCCCTGGCACGACATCGCCATTCTCACGGACGAACCCTACGAGCGCTGCGACTACTACCGTGCCGAGTCCCAGAACGTTGTGGCCAAGGGCTACTGCTCGGAGCCAGGGTTTAACAACCCGGACTCCTGCGCAGGCAGAGTGTGTGTGTGTGTGTGTGTGTTTGCTATTGTGTTCTGTGTGTGGGTGTGTTTTTTGAGGGCACCCTTGTTAGGGTTGGTTTAAAGGGAAACCAAAACGAAACCACATATTTTGGGGACCCCTCAAACGAAACCGACCCTTTTAGACTTCGAAACCTTCTATGGACCAAAAAGTGGAGGCTTCCTCTTGGGCTCCAAACTGAACCCAAAACAGGAGTCCTTTAAGGTCCACCCTGCAGGCAACGGTGGTGCCTGGAAGGACTGATCCGAAAAAAAAATCAATCGCAAGCCTTGGAGGGTACAGTGATCACAAGTGATGCGAAGGGCTTCCTTTCATCTTGAAGATTCCTGTCTTGGGGCAGGGATTCCTCTGTTTCCTGTTTTGGAACCTCCAACAGTGGCAGTTTCAACGGAAGCAGTCAATTGCAACTTTTGAAAAAAAACCGGTCCAGTGACCCCAGTGCTCCATTTCTGATTTGCACTTTTGTCCAAACCCAGACTGGTCGAACATCACAGATGTTCCCACTGCATATCGCGAAGTTGAAACTTCTTTGCCCGGGACTTGCACCTGGACCCTCCCCGTCTTCCCTCCTGAATATTCCAACAGAAGTCACTACAAGGCCTTCTCAAGGCTTCAAACCCCTGGATTCCAGTCAGCTGAAACATATGCCTTGTTTTTGGCCTTATTTTTCTGAGAAACACGGGTCGATTAAGAACCAACCCATTGTTTTGTTTGCAAAACCCAAGCCCAATGATGTTTATAGTTGCACACGTTTGTTTTTGAAAATAATACAAACACCCCCTTGGGTGTGGGTTGGGTGTTTATTTGGAAAAGAAAAAACAACACACAACAAAACAAGGTGTTGACATCAAACACATCATGCAACCCAACATTTGTTTGAATATAAACACCAAGGCTCAACATGTGTTGTTGTTTTTGTTAATGCCCAACTCAACCTGTTTGTTAATTATCGTGATAATAATGTTGTTTTTAAACATATATATATATATATACACACTATGGAGGGGCGCTTCGCTTCGGGCTTCAGGGACTCGCCAGTCACCAGGAGCAGGCGGCTTTTGAGGAGCCGCCCCCCGAGTGCACCGGGAGCATCGGCAGCCGCGACAACCACAACGGCAACGGCCGCAACGGCCATCCGCCGCTTCGGCCGAAGAGAGGACGACACGGCGGAGTAACCCGCCGGGAAAAGCGGGAGAAGCCAAGCTCCAAAAAACGGGCTGGTAGTTTTTGAGGGTGTCTTGTGGTTGGAAGGGGAAACAAAGCGGAAAGCTGCTTCTTTCTTTCTGTCTGTCTGTCTTTCTTTCTTTTCTTTTTTTTTTTGGGGGGGGGTCCCCTAGTTTGGCGCCAAAATGAGTTGGTTTTCCTGTGGTTTTCCCTGTACCTTCCCTCCTTGTACGGTCCTTCGGTTCGAGATCGGCCGGGAGCGCCAGGTCCCCGCCGGAAACCCAAAACCCAAACCATTGTACTTTTGACTCGCCGGTTTTGGCGTAGGGAAACCTAACCAGCCATTCCCTTTAAAGAGACACCTACATCAGCTTGCTTCAAGATGTTTCTTGCCATGCTGCATCAGGCCTGTCAATTCGGCTCGCCCTGCTTTCCCCACAATTCGATATTGCGGATAAGTGACGTAGATTGCGGGCTCCTTTGCCAAAGAAATCATTTGAATTCCCTAAATAATCCGTCCATTCTCGTCATTCATCATGCTTCGCAGTCCTTCACATCAGACGTGCAAAACTTCTTTCCCCAAGTCTGCCAGTCTGCCAGCCAATTGTCACCATGCCCAAACCCAAGCCACCTCCATCGCCCACGAAGTGACCCCCTGTTTACGTACTCGACGTGACCAAGTCGGCTGTGAAGAAGACCCGCAGCGATTGTTCCACCTTTTGTTTTACCTTCCGGGAGTCAGGTAGCTCAATCAAGCTCCCGCCCAGTCTCTGTGAGCCCTTTCTGCCAGGGTACTGACGAGTTTGCGGTTCCCGAAACATTCAAGTACTGGAAATTCTCAGGGAAGGTTCGAACTTCCGCAAGCGCCTTGTGTTGACACAGCTGTGTGCCTTGTGCGAAAGCGTCGCCTGAAACAAAGCTTGCTTTGCGATATTGCTTCTCCTTTGGCCCGAGTGCTCTCAGATTTCAGCCAACACTGTACTCGTTGGGAATGAAATGCCCTATTGCCAGACACATTTTGGTTGGGGACATATTCATCACTACCAGACCTGTTTGCGGTTGGCACATGTCGTAATCATAATTGCCAGACACATGCGGGCACCAGTCTTTTTCCTTGTCCCTTTGGGGACACATTCATCACTACCAGACTTGTTTGCGGTTGGCACATGTCGTAAGCATAATTACATGTGGCCACCAGTCTTTCTTCTTGTCCCTCTGGGGACACATTCATCACTACCAGCCCTGTTTGCGGTTGGCACATGTCGTAATCATAATTGCCAGACACATGCGGGCACCGGTCTTTTTCCTTGTCTCTTTGGGGACACATTCATCACTACCAGACCTCCCCCATTCATTGTGATCTCGATCACATCATTTGTGGCCGGCCATGGCAAAGCTTCATCCGCCGGATGGCCGCCCGGAGGCGCAAAAGGTTGCCAGAGCTTTTGGACACACGTGTTGCCAAACTGCCCTGGGACCTAATCGCATCGCAGCAATCGCTTGGGCCTCGCCAATGGCCAAGCCAGAAAAGTGCTGCTTTTTGTTTTGGGCTTGCGTGTTTTGCATCTGTTTAATTCGTGAACGGCAGCGAGGGCCAAGAAGCCAAGAACTATGATGGCAAGTCGGGTCTTGTTGTGGTAGTTTTCGTCATGCTCGTGGGAAGCTTGAGCTGTTGGCGCAGGCAAGCCTTCAGCACCCTGGAAACCTTTGAGCGTCTACACTTCAAGACGGATCACCTTGGTGCTGTGTAAAACAGATTGGAAGGGGCCGGTTCAGCCAAAAATCTGCATGCCGGAGGCCCCTGTTTTCGGCAGCCGCCGAGCCCTTCGCAGCGAGAGAGGCAGGGAGAAGAAAATCGGCTCCGAGAAGAGGCAACCGATGCATGCCGCCTACCTGTTTCTGTGAAGCCCTCAAATGCTTTCGCAATATTCAAGGAAGCCTTCGCAAGATTTGCGAGCCAATGGAAGAGCTGAAATGCAAACCCAAGCTTCGCATACTCGATATGTTTGGGGCAAGTCTCCTTTCTGGTTCTAAATCCATGGATGCGCAACAGCGATGGGCTACAAGGACTTTGGCAAGAAGTATGGCAGTCCAGTTTCGCTCCCCCCCCCCCCCGCCTAGTCTAAGTTTTCCGGATTTGTTGCTTCAGTGTTGCCGTTTTGTTGCAGCCCAGTCCAATCGTTACAACTTGACTTGTCACTAGTAGGCATACGCAATAAGAATCCCCACCAGTTACGGATTCTCATGCAAACAAGGCCTTCTGCCAATGGCTGATGCTATAGTTGATTCAAGCATATAGTGTCCGCTGGTAGAGGCCCCCCTGAATCTCCCCCCCTAACAATTGTAATTTGAGGGGGGAGTACCCCAGTGAAATTTCATTTGTTGTTGCACTTTTGAGGGGGGGGGGGGTTGTGAAACACGGGGGGCCCAAAGTAAATATGTTCTGTTCGAAGGGGGGGGACCCCGTTCTCCCGCTTGCGCCTGGGAGGACATTACGGGCCCTGGGGCCCGTCCAAAAACTGGTGCCTCTAAAGGGAAATGGCTCGAAAACCACCAGAATAATCACCACGCTTCCAAGAAACTGCTGCTTGCGGGCTTTGAGCGGCCACCAAACCGAACGCTCGACTCAGAAAAGGGTTGCATTTTTTCTGCGGGGTTGGGGTCCACAATTGAAATATTTCAAGGGCTACCCCCCCCCCCCCCGAAAAAGAAATAAATTGCAATTTTAGAGGTCCCCACTCCCCTAGGGACGGGGATTCCCCCCTTTGAAGACTGCCCTGAGGATCTTGCGCCTCCTTCGAGTTCGTGCACGCTGAGGGTCGAAGATCCCCAGACCTCGACGGATCCCTGAACCTCGACGCCCTTGGTGCCGCTCCGCTCTCTCCACACTGGATAATGGTGGGTCACATGATTGCTAAATCGCTTGATCTCTATGTTCCCGCCGAAGATGCCTGTGATGCAAATGAGGATGCCCAGCAACATTTTCTCCCTCAGCTCGTGGCTGTCAAACCTCGTTGCAGTGGCCTCCGCGCGCCAAAGTGAACTTCGACTGTGCAAAGCTGCGTGGGACAGCGTGGCGCCACATGCTGCCAAAGCACAGTGAGACACACTTGGTGAGGTCAGACCTTGCCCTTAGTGTTGGAGAGCCTTGCTCGCCAAATGGGTACCTGGCTCAGCACCTGTCCGCCAAGAGAGGCCTTACTTAGGCACTTTGACTGCAAACCGCCAACAATGCGGCCTGGCGTTGATTTCTTAATCTGGCATGCAGTTTGTGCAGGCCGTTATGCATGGTACGCTCTGGATTGTCTTTCAACTGAAGCCTTCCTTGCAACTGGTCTTGTCAGCAGTCATCCACAGAGGGGCAGTGATGTCCAGGTCCCAGCTTGACTTACAGTGTGCGTCTTCTTGCTGAGGGGCAAGGCATTCTTCACACTGCGTGTTCAGCGCAGATGGGGCCCAATAGATCCGACTGGTTCATAAGGGATGTCCAAACACCAAGTGCAATGCAAGTTGCGGCAAATGATCATCTTGTGGCTGGCAAACCTTGTTGCAGTGGCCTCCGCCCACCAAAGGGAACTTCGATTGCATAAAGCTGCGTGGGACAGCGTGGCGCCAGTGTGCGTCTTCTCGCTGAGGGGCAAGGCATTCTGTGCGAAAGGTGTGTGATTCGTCACACTGCGTGTTCTGCACACATGGGGCCTAGTAGCTCCCACTGGTTCAGAAGGGATTTCCAAAAACCACGTGCAGCTCAAACTCCAAAGGCATTCTATTTCCTGGGCGATGCCGGAATCAATGCCCGGGACCGTGCCTGGGGCCACGCATGGTGTGACTGCAACTTGGTTTTGTCACTCGACATGTGCCTCAAGCCCAAGAGGCTGCAACACAGTCCGGCGAGCTGGCCAGCTGAAGCATTCCACCTGCGGTTGTGAGCCTGGACTTGTTCAAAGCCGAGGCCTAGGCGCATGTGAAGACTGCCCTGAAGATCTTGCGCCTCCTTCGAGTTCGTGCACGCTGAGGGTCAAAGATCCCCAGACCTCGACGGATTTCTGGACCTCGACGCCCTGAGCGCTCTCCGCACTAGATTCTGGTGGGTCAAATTATTGCTGCTGACTAGCCTGCGATCCAAATGATCATCTCGTGGCTGCCAAACCTCGTTGCAGTGACCTCTGCGCACCAAAGGGAACTTCGACTGCATAAAGCTGTGGGGGACAGCGTGGCGCCGCATCCTGCCAACGCACAGTGAGACACACTTGGTGAGGTCGGGCCTTCCCCTTAGTGTTGGAGAGCCTTGTTTGCCAACCTAGCCAGGTCCACAGTCCAAAGGCAGCCTATTTCCTGGGTGATGCCACCTGAGGTTGTGAGCCTGGACTTGTTCAGCATGTGAAGACTGCCCTGAAGATCTTGCGCCTCCTTCGAGTTCCTGCACGCTGAGGGTCAAAGATCCCCAGACCTCGACGGATTTCTGGACCTCGACGCCCTCGGCGCCCTTGGTGCCGCCCCGCTCTCTCCACACTAGATTCTGGTGGGTCAAATTCTTGTTGTATCGCTTTCTCTTATTCTTCCCGCCGAAGATGCCTGTGATGTACTGTAAATGAGGATGCCCAGCAACATATTCTCCCTCAGCTCCGCGCACCAAAGTGAACTTCGACTGTGTATAGCTGCGTGGGACAGCCTGGCGCCACATGCTGCCAACGCACAGTGAGACACACTTGGTGAGGTCAGACCTTGCCCTTAGTGTTGGAGAGCCTTGCTCGGCAAATTGGGTACCTGGCTCAGCACCTGTCCGCCACGACAGGCCTTACTTAGGCACTTTGACTGAACACCGCCAGCATTGCGACCTGGCGTTGATTTCTCACGCCGACACGCAGCCTGTGCAGGCCGGTATGCATGGTACGCTCTGGATTGTCTTTCAGCTGAAGCCTTCCTTGCAGCTGGTCTTGTCAGCAGTCATCCACAGAGAGGCAGTGATGTCG